CCAAGAATAAATCAAAAGAGAAAAAACAAATTGTCAATGTGAGTTGTTAATATCATCAATAATTATAGAAATAATATTTTATAAAGATTAGACACATCGAATATAAAAATTTATAAACATAAACGTTTCAATTCTCAATTTGGTCCTCTTTATTTCGTTTATTTACAAATATTTATTTGATGAGTTAAAATGGTTTCTTCCTCGTAGATTCTTCTCCACAATGATCATTAAATTATAACATTTATATATTATAAATTTTGATGTCTAAAGTGTCTAATCTTTATAAAACAGCATTGGCTCACACTGACAATTTATTGTCTCTTGATTTACTTTCTTAGTTATATAATTTTTATTAATAACTACTGTAACGTGCAAATTAAGATAATAAATACGAACGATCGATCCCTTCGTACCGAGACAGCCTCTTTGAATACTAATATCGAATATGTAGCGACGGGTTTCACTGCGTTCCAATGAACATTAATTGCGAGGTGGGCCGGGCGCGGTAACGCGGCGCGAATTTATAACCCGCCTAATCTGTGACAAATTGGTTGGGGGGGAAAAAAGTAAAACCCGTCTATATCAACACACGCGGGATCGCTCACACCCGCGAACAGAAAACCACTACCGACGCGGGGAACCGAGCGGCATCGTTGCGCGCCGGCAGATCTCAGGATGTCGGAACCCGACGGCGTAGGGAGGGTTGGTTTTCAGGGGGTGGTACAAGCCACCGTAACCGAGAGGTAGATGGGGCTCCGGATGGCGATGGCCTGCTCGTTGGCTCGTGGTGGTGTGTACGGGAGCGAAAAGAGCGCCATTCTTTTGTAAGAAGCTCACATAAATTGCGACACCCAAGAGTTAAAAGCAGTCTTAAATTACGTGCCGTCGACTCCTTGATGAATTGAGTGCTCCCACCTCGTCCTCTGTCCCACTCCTCCCCCCAGCTTTCTCATAGTTGCCGCCACCGCTGGCTTGGTACCCTCGACTACTCGGTCGGGTGATATTATACATTGTTTTTACGTTCCTCTTACGGTCAGGCATCCACAACCCCTACCTATCTAGTAACTAGAGCAACTGAGTATAACGAACCTTTTATACCTTTTATATCTTTTATACCTGATGGGGTTATTTGCGAAATCGTCTTAAAAGAAAATTATTCCTCGGATCACTTTCAAAATTATTCTTTCTGTAATGATGAAACGAGAAAAGCATCAGAAAAAATTCGAAACAGAAAGTACTTTTTGTTAAGTGCTCTATTTTTTAAAGTTTTAATTTGTAGAAAAACATCACATCATGACGATTGTAGATGCTTCAAGATGTTATCATTTGCGGATCTAAAACTTCACGATCTATATTTGAAAGGGGGAACTCCGAATCTCGTGACATACCACTATACTAACGTCTCGTGCAAGGGCGCGTCGCGGAGGAGTGCCTACAAAGAAAGCTGATTCCAAGTAGAACGTCTACTGGATAATCGTTTCGTTTTGATATCTCGAAAGCCGACTGAGGTAAATCCAAGCGGGACAATTTGTTAGAACGACGCGACCTTTACACTTTCCTCGCCGCCGTACACGCAGCCGCTGACTAACCGGCAGCAGGATTGAACTTAGGGTTAGACTGGTGCATCGCCGGGATTTTATTATTCAGGTTCCTGCACATTGTGAACCGCGGTGAAATCTTTATTTGAAATCATTCCAAGAACAATAACATGTCCCCATCTTATATCAACCGTTCTCTCCTCTTTCTCTCTCTCTCTCTCTCTCTCTCTCTCTCTGTCTTCTCTGTTTTGCCGCCCATCGCATCCTTTCCTCTTCCCTCCCACGAGGCGCCAAATAAAACTAAACGTAACCCAGTTATTTTCTGTTTGCGCTGCCCGATGATTCCCTCAGATATGATGGCTTCTCTCTCGGTACCTCTCTGCTCGTTGGCAGTGGCGGCACGCGTGTATCATCGTGCATATAAATCAGTCCACGAGGATCAGATAGGATTTCAGAAATATAAAATACACGGCGATATTAAAAAAGAAAAGGGAAACGAAGCCGGGCAAAGAGCGAGAGGAAAGAAAGAAAGATAAAGAAGAGAGGAAAAAAATCAGGAGAAATGTGAGGGAGAAAGAACCTCTGTCGACGAACAAGAAATGCACTCTGATTGGTAGACATGATGCAGCGCGATAAAGCCTGTTTACACGAATTTCGGATTAATTTATAATCGTCATGCTTTCGAAATTTGAAAAGATAGAGTGGATCAGTTCGGAGTGCAAAAAGAATCTCAAAATTTTAAATAAAAGAAATAATAATATATATATATATACGTATAAATAAAAATAATACGCTATCGTTATTGTGTATATTTACAAATAATGTAATATAATTATCTATTTAAAAATTTTTTCGGATTTCTGAAGTAAAATGAAATAAGTATCTGAAGCTCTAGTTTAAATCAATGATACGTCAGAAAAATATTTTTGGCAACATGTTACGGAACGGCATTTAAGGAAGACGGAGGTTTGGAGAACATACGATCGTGTTTGCGTGGCTGAGTTCTTTGTTCGGTAATAAGGACGATTCTGAGTGGTTCGAAAAGAGCGATTGAGCGCAAAGGACAAAATCATTGTCCCCACTTGTCCGCGTCGCCTGTCTCGCGGAACTCTGGACCTTGTTGCCCGGTATTCGGCATTAGCCACGATTATCATATTTTCGTTGGGGATCTGGTGCCATAAATTTGATCTCGTTATCTCGTTTACGGGCTGCGCTCGTGCAACGAAGCGAGAGGGAAACGACGGTAAAGACGCGAGTCTTTGGAGAAGAAAGAGGAAAGAAGAGACAACATAGGAAAGCGAGCACGAAGATCAGGAACGTTTTAAGAACGACTGGTACCCCGCTGTTGCCAAAAAACTTTATCTTATAAGCTTAGATATATATTATACGATGGAATATTATCTTAAACAATCCTATAGTGCAAATCAGAAATGTTTTAACGATATCTTATTCTGATTCTCTTAGTTTTCCAAAATTTCGATCTGAATACTTTTAATACAAATAAAGTAGATATAAGTATATATGAGACCAATAGATTCTGGTACCACTTACTTGATGGTAACCGCAATACAGTATAATCTTTATTGGATAGTTGATTATTGTTAAAGCTACTGTGTTTCTTTTTAAACTCAATATACAGATAAAAAAAAACAAATATATTCATGTACATACAGTCTACGTAAACAAACATGGAGACTGCTGCGCCTCTTTTCGATTCGACTAATTTCGCCGTGGTCACTTTCACGCGCACAACTGTGCATAAGCGAAATTTATGCCGGGCGATTTGATTACCGCGATATAAACTTGATGCGGACACGCAGACTCGGACGACAAGACGGGGACATACATCACACGGTTGGTTTGGTGATACCACGACTGGCTCTGGCTTCTTGGTATCGTTCTTAGTACTCGCCGACTTTCTCGCTCCTTCTCTGTTTCCTTCTTCATTTCCTTCGATCTTTCTATTTTAAAATTTATGGCTGATTTATTATATCGATCGATATCTTTTTGCAATTCACACTAAGCTACTTATAATTGAAAAGTAAAATACTTAGAAAAAAGTTATTAACTTAACTAGATTAGTTTAGTTCGTATTTATTTTTTCTGATGGAGAAGATATGTATTATGTTAAATGTATATGATATATTTGACTTAAATGTATACATTCTTTAATGAAAGAAAAAAAAATACGAACTAAACTATATAATTTAGTCAAACTATTAACTTTTTTCTCAAAGTACAGAATATTAAAAATACAAATTTTTACGACTTTAAAGAGAAAGAAATTGTGCAATATATACTAACGATATCAACATTTTCACAAAAAAATTAAACATCCATCGTTTGACCTATTCCTCATAATAATCTTATAAGATATATTTACGAAATAATTCTATCTCAATTAAGTTTTTATCCATAATATCGTTTTATCAAGGCAAAGTAAGAAGTACTCTTGATTACAGCTGAAATAAAATTGAAAAACTTTCTTATCAGCATCTAGTAAGAAAGTACGATTCGATATTAAGAAATCAACTTTCGTCAGGCGAAAATAAGAATTCAATAAGAAGAACGAAGATCTTCACAAAGATACACATATAAAATTCGTCTGGCGTTTCTAGGAGATCTTTTTTGGCCGTGTCAGTAAGTTTGAGACAATAAGTTATAAATATTGAAATCTGCCTACAGTTCGCCCGCCCTTTCCTTCTATCCCCGCCCGTCCTGTCCTAACAAAAACCTTTCGTCCGGGTCACGACCGATCGGTGCATTAGAGAGCCACGATGTCGCCCACGATGGCTCGTGTTTCTATAATGTAGGCATCGTTAGCAGTATTCATGTACTAAATCGAACGAGGAAGATGTACACGTGAGTGCGGGAGATGTATTATAATGCATCGACACTGCCGACTCTTCGTGTTGTCGGAGCTAGTCAAATAAAAGGATTTCCGGTCTATTTTGCAAGATGCGAGATTGTCTGGCGGAACTTAAAATATGTCAAATAGAAAGCAAATCAATCCGTCATGCATTTTTTTTTAAGTTTTTGTAATATTTTTAGTTTAATAAAGTTTCTATAAAGCTATAACACATCTAAACTACGATCTATTACTTTTCTTCTTGGTTTAAGTTAGCTTTTCCTTCTATTTTGCTTCAACTTTCTGCTGCACTATCGCTCGCAAAAGTACATGCGTGTGTGTACTTGCATAAATATATGTAAGCGTCCGTAATGCGATGAGTTTGCTAAGCTCAAATGATTGTATGAATCATTCCTGAGAGAGATTACCATGCATTAAAAAAATTACTGTTAATATTTCTAATTATTACGTGCTATGCTTTTGCGTTACTTGTTCGTGGTTAAAATGAACTAATATGCTACCGCGTAATAATATACTGATAATGATGTAAATAAATGAATAAATATGCATTTCGTGACTCAATGTTATTGATGCCCGTGCCTTTGAATACGCAGAATGATGGCCATGCCTGCAAATAACCTATGGACACTGGTGGGAGGACAACGATTACGGGGTTACCTTGGTCAGAGGGTGTTCGATGCCCGATGCTGTAGGTACGAGGACTATAAATCATAATTAGGCTGCAAGCGGTAGCTGCGAAGTGGCTGCAGGCCCATTAGCAGCAACAATGCGCCCAAGCAGCTTAAGACGTCGTTGTTGCCAGAAGAAGAGTAACTCGACTCTCCATTTACTCGAGCCAGATCGTATCGAAGCTGCGTAGCAGGACATTCGCGGTCAGAAAATAATGGATGCGAAACATGTAACGAATATTTGAGCACGATATAGACTGTCATTTATCCTTTTTAATGTGGTGTTACAGTATTATACTTGAATATAAGTCCCGATGTACATCTATAATTTAAAGTCTAATGAATTTTATTTCATATACGTGTTAACCGTGTAGAATATGTTACCAAATATATTTTTTTTAATTTCTTTGAGATATCCACTGTCATCCCGAATTCCCAATTTTATCGTAGCTTCCTATAATACGGGGCAACGAGGGATTAACTAATTGGAACAAAAAACTGTCTAAGTAAACGATAAAATTGAGTAGAAAATTTTCAATTTAGTCAAACGATCGAGCGTATAATCGTCCATTGAATATAGAAAATCCTAGTTACTTTTTTCTTAAGCGTATTGGTGCATGAGATGTGCTATTCGAACAGGTTCTATAGGACGATGATTAAGCAATATTATTCTCGGTATAAGAGCATTCGAGAAATCAAGTATAGCTTACGGTAACCTTAAAATAAAACATAAATAAATATAAGTCAATACTATTTTTATTTCTAAACAATTTCGTAAGCTCGTTTTAAGCTTAATTTTAAACAGTTAATTTACAACAGTTTTCTTCTTGATTTTCAATAGGTGAATTTACGCTTTTCCTTTTTTAACGATATATTTGCATGCACACCCATGCAACAGCTATTATTTTTCTTCAAATCAAAATATCGCTGTTTATACAAGAGCCGGCGAGAAGAGGAGAAGCGCCTCTGTACGAGGATCCAAGAAATCTCGGAGGCACGATCGAGGCCTGTCAGATTATTATAGTGAGTCGTCGATACTTGAGTCGAGTGCACGAAGATGAGTCTTCAATCCTTCTGACGCTGACGCTCCTCGATCGACGAGCGAAGTGGCCACAACGGATTCCATTCAGTCGATTGACGGTGGTCACCTTTGGTGGTCCGAAATTCCTTGCACTCCAAATTACTTCCACTCGTAAGCGGAAATCGGCCGTCTACTTCGTTTGCGGGCAATCAAGGACCAGTCCCTCTCTGCTCCTCGTGCGAGCTCGATGCTGATGAAGCGCGGTTGAAAGATTCATCGAACCCTTCCCCCTCTCCACCCTCAACCCATTAGATTTTATTGCACCCATAATTATTTCTGTGCAAGCTGAAACTGCCAGAGCTCGGGCTTACTTCGAATCTCAAAGATTAAAACTGTATCTCTTCTTTCATATTTGCTTTTCTATTTTATAAATATTTGTGGAGATTATGATGGCAAAATTTCATTAGATTTGAATTCAAAATATAAAAAAAATGGAGTACAAATATAATGTTTACTTGAAATAATTTTACATATTTGGATATATTTTTATATTTAATTTATATAATTTTATATTTAATAAATAATGTTTCTAAGTTCTCTGAATTATGAGCAAGTTTATATCGCGTGTTTTATTTGTAATAGCAATGACTGATAGAAAGTCACGTTATTTCGTGAACAACTCAGATGCTTGTGCATCGACGTTGAGCATTTCCCCGTCAAATGACGAATGAGTAGAAGTCATGACGAATTATTACGGCCAGTACACCATGAATCATGCTGCCAGCGTTTACCGCGAAGAATAACGAAGATCCGACCAAGCGAGTGTCTTAAATTTCATACCAGCACCTTCTCGCGACGGGTTGCACGTACATACGTCACGACTGCGTCGCGTCGTGTGTGAGTTCGACATATCTGATCGTCGACCGACGCAACGGATGCCGAGTCGATGATTCCAATCTCCTGTCAATGCCGCTCAACTTTGGCGAACCTGGCCATTTACTAGCCAGCAGGATGTGAATGATTCCCGATCGTGTTCGAACGTATGAGAGTTTGCCTCCTGCGAGAAAAAGGCTTCGATTGGCTTAGATTAATCGTGTACAGTCGCTGGATATGAATACGAATAAAAAAAGGTTTTCTACAGTATACATGATGGTTCTTGTGTTTTCTCAATAAATGTTTTTTTTTTAATTCGATACGATTGATATAAAGCGACAGTAATCTCTTACGCAGAAAATATTTTACAATAATGTAATGACTAATTAATGATGATTTCGGTCACTCGCACTAAATTAAATTATTACACGTCAAAGACTGCTATATTTAAAATATCAAAATATAAACACATATATGTCCCAACATCAACTTCAACACATATATGTCCCATTAAGTAACATGACAATTAATATATCATTATTTAATCGTTCACATGCTTTTACATTTAATTTTGCTAATTTCGCATAGCAACTTTCAGTATGCTCTAATCTAGTGTAATACAAGTAAATTGCTACAAGTTCCTGAAATAATAACTTGATTTTATCGTTGGTAAACACTGTCATGTTAATTTTAAAAACGATTTACGTGATTTCACAAAAATCTGCAAGAACTCTTTACGTCGATATATTAATGGGCAATCAACGTTCTGCTCCGACTAAAACTTCCGTTTAAGGGAGGGAAAATAAGTTTCTCCCGATTCACGAGGCGTTTAACGTTTCAATGGCCTGTGAAAGTTAAACGGGAGGGGCACGACAAATTTTTCGGATATCGTCAATTTATCAAGTCGGAAACGATTCTTGAATCGGGGTGTCGTCGATGCCATCGTCTGACGTCGTCACTCGCGCATCCTGACGACAAGGACGTCGAGGTAGACATCGACAACCATTAGTCGCCAGGCGATGTGGCCGACTATACCGGTCTGATGTATTTCAATGTTGACGGAAAACCTGTAAAACGGCCTCACGCCGGCTTACCGGGGATCTATTAGCGCCCGTTATAAATGGTCCCGTCACCTTCGCCGATGTCACCGGTGTCGCTGAAAGGAAATTGACTACTCATCCCCCTCTGGGTGCCGACCCGAGACGCGTTCACTCTCACGTTCCTCCTCTCGCCTCATCTACTCGAGCCACGGATTTCGCCGGAAATCAAAAACGGCACGTTGCGTCCGGCACTTCGCCGCACGACTTCAGGAAACGATGTCAATTTCTTGATTTGATCTCGAGTAATCGAAAGGCAGCTGGCAGGAATTTACAGAGAGTGTCACGTAGGACGCGCTTGACGTATAGTCTGATTTTATTACAATTTCATTGTAATGTAATTTGTGTCATATAATGTGTATATGAAAAATGATTGTGTAATGGAATTTCTGTTCTTATAAATAATTTGATAATAGAAAGTATATACATAGTACTATCAATTTATGCTGCAGAGATGCAGACTCTGGATTGATGCTACGCGAATCGTTACACCCTAATCGCGTGTTGAGAATTCCAACGTGATATCAAGGATCATTACGCTCGCTACCGATCTGCGCGACGCAGGAAGCTTATCTATTCAAAGTGAGATTCAGAAGCGAAGAGCAGATCGCGCCTCGCGTATACACACACACGCACACACGCGCAGCCATGCCTTTTAATATTCCGGTAGCCGGTGGCGAGCCAATAACGCTGGCGTTAAAATATGGTAATCGAGCCACGGGATCGGCATATCGACGGCTTGACAAACGATGCGACGCCCGGAGCATTGGACCACCAACAGATCGTGAAGCATCCGCGCTCGCGCGCGCTTCTCTTCTTCATTCTGCTTCTCTCTGTCCCCCCTCTCGCACTCAGTCAGCCCGCAATCATTTGTTATGTACGTGACTCGAAGCTGACTGCTATCCTGGCATCCTGCCATTCCTACGTCCTGCCGTTCATATCGTCCGTCCAGAGTGCCTCCCAGTCCTAGTCACACCTGGTCGCTTCGAGCGTGAGCTGAGTATTTTGTTTACGATTGAGGGATACAGCATAGTTTAAATTATAGTAAATTAAATCTTCGACGTAAATTAGATCCTCCTTTTCTAAATTAACATTTGACGACTATATTTTTCGCTTTTCTTAAATCTCACTTTGAATGAATTATTTGTAATAAATTAAATACAATAATTATATTTTAAAATTGCCGAAATTCTTTATTTAATATTGTTTGATTTGCAATTCTTGATGTTTAATTTAAATAATCAAACTAACGTCCGAGATCTGACTTGCGAATTCCATCATTACTTCGATCATATCGTATACTTAACAGAAGTAAAAGGAAGGCAACACATCATGTAACATATAGCTTATTCTCCTACTTTCTACAAGTAGAGAGCATGATCGAGTTTTCTCGATCCAAAGTATTGATATCACGATTATGTAAAAGCCACAATTAGACATTCACGTTATTCGTGGCGACGTAGCAGACATTTCATATTTCTCGACACAGAAGGTTATTATTCGGTAGAACATTAATCTACGAACGGCGAAGTTGGCGTAAAATTCGAATGGACAGCTGATCGTATGAGATCGGCATCACGTGGCCTGTCGGGATTCGTTTAGGGAACGTTATTTAAAGGATTCGGTACAAATCTCTCAAGCTTGTGTGCCAGCTGGCCACATCAATCCTGTTACAAAGCGCGTCTATCTCGACGCAGCTTCTCGATCGGCCGATCGACTCCGGTCCGTGTCCGCGTGTCGAGCTCGAGTCACTTCACGTTGTGATCAGAGTCGAAAACACGGATTCAGTTGTCCACGTCGATCTCATGAAGCTACCGTTATCAAATGAGGAGCTTAGCCAAACTACCTAAAGCAGTGACCGGATCGAAAATCACGTCTTAAATACCGTCTTAAATAAAATTTACACTTATTTCCATTTCATCTATTGTTTCATTACAATCTCATATTATAAAGAAATTGTACGTACATATTAAATAGTACGTATAAAAATAAGATTAATTAATGTTATTTCTATAGATGTAATAAGTCTAGGCTGCACATTCCCTGCTTTCAACATCTCAGCTCCAGAGAGAAATGAATATATCAACATCTCTCTCCAACTCAATACTTTAGAGCGAAATTATTCAAGCTACCTCACTGTTTCTAAACTTTTTCACGATAGTGACAACTTCATAAGAATACAATCAATTCCTATTACCTTATTCTTGTTACGATTGTGACTATTTCTACAATTTGGAAATAAAAAAAGCAACAATAGAATTTGTTATTCTAAGATATCGCTTTTAATTATAGGTTTATCTTTCATATTGTAAATTAGAAAATAGGAAGTTCGTGAAATGTCCAGGAAAACGAGCTGAGAGCATTTTGTTTATATTTCGTTAAGTCTCACCGAGTAAAGACGCGAATAACGACGCG